CGCAGGGTGGGCCCGGCGGCCTGCGTCCCGCCTGATATCCCCGCGGCCCCTTATCCCTGAGCGGCAGCCCCGCTCCGTTTTCCAGGAAACTTGTGCGTTACGTAGCGGAGCGCTTTTTGGCTTGAATTGCCTTGTAATGTGCAGCGACGTAAATCGTACGGGGCTCGAGGTCAAGAACGTGAAGCTAGGATGAATGCGCCAGGTCGTGTTGCAGAGCACGTCTGCGTGGTGCGGTGCGCGCGGACGCGTCTTGCAGGGCACATCTGCCTGTGTGTTGCACGCGGGCACGCATGTTGCAGGAGATGCCTGCATGGCTTGTTGCACACAGGCGCGTGTGTCGCAGAGCATGCCTGCATGGCGTGGTGCACACAGGCGCGTGCTGCAGGGCAGGTCTGTGCTGCATGGTGCACATGGGCGCATGTTGCAGAGCATGCCTGCATGGCATGTTGCATGTGGACACGTGTTGCAAGGCAGGACTGTGCAGCATGGTGCGCACAGATGTATGTTGCAGAGCATGTCTGCATGGCGTGGTGCATGTGGATGTGTGTTGCACGGCAGGTCTGTGTGCCATGGTGCACGTGGATTCACATTGCAGGGCAGGTCTGTGCAGCGTGGTACACATGAGCACGTGTTTCGGGGCAGGACTGTGCAGCGTGGTGCACACAGATGCGTGTTGCAGAGCGTGCCTGCGTGGCGTGGTGGTGCACACAGGCACATGTTGCAGGGCATGCCTGCATGGCATGTTGCATGTGGACATGTGCTGCAGGGCGGGACTGTCCAGCGTGGTGCACACAGATGCGTGCTGCAGAGCATGCCTGCATGGCGTGGTGCACATGTTTCAGGGCAGGTCTGCGCGGCGTGGTGCATACAGGCACGGGCTCACTCTGCCTGGCACCGTGTGAGCTGCTGGCTCGTGCCAGACAGAGCACCCCAGGCAGCAGCCTCTGCCTGGGCAAAGTGGAAAAGCTTCAGCTTAAGCCTTAAAGACAGTGGTGGCCGTACCCTTGCTAGAGCCCAAAGCTCTTCACAGCACCTGCCTGGTGCGGAGGAAACCTGCAACCCTGTCGCTGAATTGCTCACTGTCTATGTGCGCTTGAATTCAGTTGTCCTTCCAGAGCGAGCTGGCTGCTGCTCGTCCCTGCTTTTCCTTTCTTGCGCCTTTCTCCTTGGTGCTGCTGGCTTGAATGTGAGCGTTTCTCGCTGGGCAGCTCTGGGTGAGGCGGCCCGGCAGCGCGTTTCCAGCGGTTGAGAGAGGCCAACGTGTCTCCTGCAGCGCGGCGAGTGACTTTGTGCACGCCCCTCGCCTGGGTCCGTCCCTCGGCCCGAGCTGACCGTGTCCCTTTGGCTCTTGCAGAGTTTGCCCTTTCCATCGTGGAGAAGATGCAAGCCCAGGACGTCCTGCGGGGCCTGCGGCTCCCCGAGCTCGATGACCTCGGCCAGTTCTTCCGCAACCTGCCGGCCACGGCGCTGGTGGGCCTGGGCGCCTTCGCGGCCGTGGTGGCCTACTGGTTCGCCAGCCGGCCCAAGGCGGTGAAGCCGCCCTGCGACCTCTCCAGGCAGTCGGCAGCAGTGGAGGTAAGGGGAGCGGCCGTCCGTCAGAGGTTTTTCCGCAGGGTTTGCATGCCTGGAAACGGCCACAGAGGATGCTGGAAGGCGGTTTTGTTTGCTATGAGGGCTTCCCAACCTCAGCCTGGATCGGTCAGGTCATCTGCTGTGCCGGGGCAGACGCACGAGGTCTCTCCCCATGCAGCAGCACTCGCGCTGCACTGCTGCATCCCCCTCCGTTGCAGGAGGTCGGCAGGCTCACACGGGGTGCTGCAGTGAATGAACGTTGTGGGAGCCTTGCTGTTTGCCCAGAAAGCCTGTTATTTGCCCTAAGTCTGTGAGTGCAAGGTTGCTTTGGTTTGTGCAGGTCAATGGACACACCAGGCTCAGCCCCTGCTCCCACCAAGAGGGCGAGGTTTCCTTGTTGTGGTGTAAACCAGAGACCACGTCTCTGGGAGCAACGGCTGCCCTTCTGTAAGCCATCTGGCTTGTGCAAAACTCCTTGCCCACTGTGATGTATCTCCAGCGTGAGTGCCAGAGAAGCCCAACACCCTGCTAGCAACCCATTGTCATCTCACTGCTGCAGTTTCTCTTGGCCAGGAAAAATGCGTAGCAGGTGCTCGTCATGGCAAAGTCATCGTTGCGCTCGCTATTGCTCCGCTCATACTCCACTCATGCTCTGTACCTTGGCCAAGGCTGTCCCAGATCCGCTGTGAGCCTGTTGTCCGCCACTGGGTGAACGGTGCCTGTGCCCGGGGCCTCCTCAACCCTGCGGCACTTGGTGACCCCATCTATGAGCAGTTGGCGGCACGGTGCAATGTACTGTCACCTTCGTGGGTGCAAAATTGCATTTCCGTAGGCACAGTTGTGTCAGTCTTGATCAGGAACCTCCAGTGCGGTGGTGGCTTCTCCCCTCCCTTTTTTGACAGCAGAAGTGGACCTCTGTGAAGAGATGCCAACGTGGCAGCGTTTTCCCCTGGGCCACTATTAGCCACAGCTATGGCTCAGCGGTGCAATGCTGCAACGGAGCAAAACTCAATGTGAGACCTTGGAAGGGGAAAGTGATTTTATTTTTAAACAGAGCTGATACTTGTCACTCCCACTGATATTTTCTTCCCCATCATTAACTCTGAGACACCTGTGTCCGAGCGGCCGCTCTGGGATCACTGGCGGGGACGTGTACTTCCCTGTTCCTCATCCCCTCTCCTGCCGTTCCCCTTAGCTGGCAGCCAGGTCCTGGTTTCTGAATATTTCCGTGGCCCTGAGGAGCTGATCTTTGATCTCGTGATCTTTGTTTTTCAGTTCTGGCCCACCTCTGTGAGTTACTAGCAGCTACTCACTGTCTTTTTTCTCCTTATCTGTCCTTATCTATGGCTTCAATCCTGTTTTTTATCTTCCTGCCCTTATCTCTTAATGGCTTGAGTCTGGAGTCTGTCCTCTATTTTAATCTGTCCTTTGGTTTGGTCTGTCCTTTGTTTTAGTCGGGATGTAGCTTGAGAAGGTGCCCGTAGGTGCTGGGATCTTGATGACCTGCTAAGCAGGAGCCATCAGCCATCGGCACAGGGCTCCGCCGGTCCCCCACTGAGCCCCTTTCTTCTCCTTCTTCCTTCAGACCAATCTTAACTTTTCAGTTACAACCTCTGTGTCACCAAGCCCTCCACTAGTAATAGTTTGAGCCTAGCAAAACTCTTCCTCTGTGTTATTTGCAATTTTTTTCCTCCTCTTCAAGTCTCTTTGGGAACTGTAAATTGTCTCCTCTGGCGACAAGCAGGGTCAAATCCTCACCTACGGGAAAGCGGTTTGCCCGTGTTATTTGGACTCCTAAGGTTCATTTCACAAGCTCATCTCTGTCTTTGATCACCTTCGAGTGACAGCGCAGGAATATGAGGCCTCTAGTGCTGCCGAAGGCTTTCCAGCTGGCGTTTTGGTGTGAGGAGAGACAAGAACGGCGCTCTAGCGGGCAGCCAAGAGTGCTTGGCTTTCCCAAGGCCGGAAGCATGGTTTCTTTCGATTTGGGAATCAACCTAGCTGGGGGATTGGAGGGGATAAATAAGCTGATGTTTTTTTCTCTTAGCTGGTGTGGTAGGTTCAGTACAACTTGCAATGGCTTGCTTATTTTCTAGATTTTTTACTTTTAAAAATGTAATTGCTTTCAGTTGTCCTGAAATACTTCCATTAATATAACATGTATTTGGACAATACTTCAGAGTAGAAAGTGTACTTATTTTCAGCTTGTTCAGAAAAAAATGCACTTGTCTAAAAACGTCAGAGGTGTGATCGGTGCGTAAAGATTGCCGGGGAGCAAGTGGCGTCTTTGGGGGTGGAGGGAGATGAAGGACCAGTGACTGCACTTAAAAGTGCATTTGGGTAAAAGCAGGTGCAAAGCCAAATACTGCTTTTCTTTGTTTTGCTTGTGGAGCATAAACTTTTGTTGTGCACAGCATTGGTGCTAGTTGCAAAATATGCTTATGAGGAAGTCTAATGAGCTTCCAAATGATGAGGAAGTCTAATGAGCTTTGGGTCCATGACATCGACAGCCCGAGCTTGTTCCAGGTAACTGCAGCTGTGGCTCGGCTCCTAGATGCAGCTTTTGAGCTGTTGGGATGCTTTTTTTGGATCTCCTTTCCTGCTTGCAGAAGTCCTGATCACTCTGTGCTGTTCTGGTCCCTGCAGGGCTTGGATGGTGCGCGGAGGTCTGTGATAGGGGACAGCACCCAGCTGCTCACTCACTACTATGATGATGCGAGAACCATGTATGAGGTCTTCAGAAGAGGATTTAATATATCTGGTGAGTGTTCAGCACTGACACTTAAGATGCAGAGATTCCTGCAGAGTCTGAAAGTCGAGGGGGTCCCGCTCCTACAGCCTGCATTTGTCATCCATCTTCTCCATGCCATGTAGCCTTCGGTGTCTTCTTTCGGTTTGCAGTTTCACAACTGTTTTTCTTATGCTCTGTTAAATGTCCTCAGGTACGGAAGTGGTCTTTGCTCCTCTTCCACTCAACCTTGTCATCCATCTCTATACCCTTTATAGCCCGGTTTTGTCCTGTGGAGATGAAGTTGCAAGGGCGGCACTGATTATCCAGGACAGAGGTGCTGTGGATTTATTCAGAGGCATTATGATATTTCCCATTTGTTCTCTGGTACCTTCATAAAAATATTAGCAACAGAAGCGTTAGCTGACATTTTCAGAATTACCCAGAATAGTTCCAAGGTCTCTTTTACTGATAACTAAATAATTCGTTTATAAGTAAGCATTATGGGTTTATAATTAGGGTTGTTACTCCCAATGTGCATTATTTTGCATTTAACGGCATTACATTTTACCGTGCGGTCTCTTGGTATCATGAGATCTTTCTGCTGCCATTGGCAGACAGCTTTAGTTTTCACTGTCCTGAATTTTGTAACGTCAGCAAACCTTGCCATGCATTATTCATTCCCAGCATGCTTACGAATGTGTTCGGCGAGACTGATCTGAGCGCAGATCTGCGTGGCACTCAGCAGCGCCCTCCTTCCACTGCAAAACCTGATATTTGTTCCTGCCTTTTGTATCCTGTCCATCAGTTATTAATTAATCTACCTTACTTCTGATGCCACAATAGCATAGTGTTTTTAAGAAATCTGGGTAAGGGGCTCTGGCAGAAACTCTCTGGGAAGTGAAGCAGGCCGTATCCGACCGTATTTGTTGGTGTGACTGATGGTACCTTCAGAGAGTCCTAATACACTTGTGAGATGTAATGTCCCACTCCAAAGCTGTGATGACTCTTCTCTGTTATAGCCATACCAATTCGTGCGTCTGCTGCTTAAGGTACTCCTCACCTTGCTCGTTAGAAGATCCGGCGCACTCTCATATTGGCCCTACAAAACAGAGAAAAGGTTTGGTTGTGTCCTAGAAGCCTTACAGCATCTATGCCTAGGCACTGGGACAGCATTTTGGATAAGCTTACTGTGGGATCCTGAAGCACCTGCCCCTTTTTCAGATGTCCCCACTGCTTGAGCGCATCACTTTCATTGCTGGATTGTTATTTTCGGTGCCACCAAAAGCCCCCGTGGAACTGCAGTACTCTGCACTGTGCCACTACATTAATGGAGGTCTGTGAAGCGCTCAGTAGCTGCACAGAGGGATGGGTTTTGTGCAGATAAGTGCAGGTAGCTAATTAATTAAAATTCTCAAATATTCTTCCTGGCATGTAGTGCTACATATAGTCTTACCCTCCTTCAGAGTGGGCATTGTTATTAACAGCAGTTTTCACTTTGAAGTGTTTAATTTAAAGGGCAGCTACAGCAGTGGGAGCTGACACTTGGGATGAAAGCGTTCGTTCACCAGACAGCAATGTTCACACTTTCTTAGGGGGAATACATTTTAATAAGGCTGTTTCTGTGCAACTTGTTACTGTACTCTCTGCAACGGAAAGAGGTGGCTTGAAGCGACTGCACTGGAAATCCCCAGAAGCCGGTCTCCCATTACGCCAGACTGTCTCGCGTTTATTTGATAGCGCTTGATGGGAGCTTTGCCTCCGAAGTGAGAGCTGACCTTGATAACACTGGATTTATTCGGTGAGGGCTCTGCTACATGTCAGCAGCGCAGCGCAGTGCAGTGCATTAACGCGTGGCACCGACCCCCGTAACTTGTAACCTCTGCTTATGTCTTTTAGAAAACGGCCCCTGTCTGGGATTCAGAAAACCCAAGCAGCCCTACCAGTGGTTGTCCTATAAAGAGGTGAGCTTGGAATGAGTTCCTCCTGCAGGCGTCCCCCAAAAGTCTCGTCCTTCCCGTGACCGAGGAATGGACTTTTAAGATGAACTTTTGTAATAAGCACACGCTGGCCTGGGAGGCTGGTGACGCGCTGCGTGAGCGCTCGCAGCTCTCGCCCCGCTGGGAGCATCCCGGCGGTTGGCCAGGCACGTCGGCTTTCAGGCGCCAGCGCAGTGTGGGCTCCCAGTCAGCCCTCGGCGCGGGAAGGACGGGACGCAAGAGCGCTTGGGAGGACGCTCTGTCTCTGGTGGCTAGCGATAATATATCAGTGGGGCTTTTGGATAACCAGGGCAATAGTTTGAGAGCCTCCTTAGGTCAGTAAGTCCTTGCGTAGTTTGCTATTGCTCGTATTCCTCTTTTTTATGCTTTTATTTTCTCTTCAAATTCCAGGTGTCCGAAAGAGCAGAAGCTTTGGGCTCGGGGTTGCTTCAGCAGGGATGTAAACCGTCCACAGAGCAGTTTATCGGGGTCTTTGCACAAAACCGTCCCGAGGTGAGGTTTTCAGTTTAACTCCACACTCTGTTAACAATGTTCCTGACTTGTGAGCTTGCTTTATATTTTAAGCTTGTTCTCAAGTGCGTTAAATCCATTGCCACCACCCCCGTCTTACTTTTGGTTTTCGATGCCTTCTTCCAGTGGATCATTTCCGAGCTGGCTTGCTACACTTACTCCATGGTGGTGGTTCCCCTCTATGATACCTTGGGGCCCGGAGCCATCCGTTACATTGTCAACACAGGTAAAAGGAATATATGTGCTGTTCTCCGAAGCCAGTTTTGTTACTTGGAATGATTCATTGTCGTCTGCTTTCCACAAGACGTGGTTTTGCTCGTGGAGTGTCTTTGGCTGGAAGTCAGCTAGCTGATCGTGTAGTAATTCTGCATCTTATTGCAGCACTCTTTTTTTTTTTTAACCAATTATCATCGATGTTATTTTACCTTTCATACGCCCTCCATTCTTGCACTTTGTATGCATGTGACAAGATAAAATGAGGATCATTAGTTGCTCTATAGTTGTCAGACTGTTTAGTCTGAAGTGAATATCATATGATAACTATGAACCAGCAGCCCATGTTGCATTAAACAAAAATTTACTAAAAACAGCATGTTTGGGTGCTTTCTTCCAGCGGACATTTCCACAGTGATCTGTGACAAACCCGAAAAGGCCCGTGTTCTCCTCGACCACGTGGAGAGGAAGGAAACACCGGGCCTCAGCTCCATTATCCTGATGGACCCGTTCGAGAAGGACCTGCAGGAGAGAGGGGCGCGCTGCGGCGTGCGCATCCAGACCATGCACGAAGTGGAGGTGAGTTTTTCCTATCCTCATTTTCGTCCGCTTTGTAGTTCCTGCAAGAGACTGTCACAATGTCCGGGGACTTGTGAACTGGGGGGCATGTTCAGTGTCCAAAAAGCACAGAAGAGAAGCTAGTCCCCGTTCGCGTCGGCACGCGGCACAGTACAGCTGCCTCTCGCTGTTATTTCTCGTCGCTCGTGAGCACCAGCATCTCAAACGCCTTCACTTCACTGCCCTGCGCAAATAAGGCACCGGCTCTCGCTCATGCCTGGGGAGGAGATTCCTGTCTGAGAAGCTCTCCTGCACAGCCACAAAGGCGAACATCCCTTCGCCTTTAATGAAACAACCTGGATCCAGCTTCACTGGCTGAAGCGTTGCTTGAGGTCTAAGGACGCCATTGCGGTTAACGCAAGGACCTTTAGGCAGAAGAGATGACCTTAGCGCTAGCTGCCGATTTTCCGATTCTAGCTCACATCATCCCTGTGGTTTGCAGATTATTAGCAGGTGTGTTATACCACGTGGACCAAAATGGAAGTAATTTCTGTTACTTTCATCTCTTTCAGGAGTGTGGCCGTGAGAGACGACACGTTCCCGTGGTGAGTGTAGTCATGCTGCTTTTCCCGTGCGTGATGACAGATGATCATTTTGTGTATATTTCACTGAGGAAAAGAGTGACTGATGTGCTGCAGCACAATGTCTCATGCTGCCCGACTCGGGGGGCTGGTGGGGACGGACCATCGTCATCACCCACGGTCCCAGCAGCAGAGCCCGTTTGCCGAGGCGTGTAGTATTCGTTTCCTAAACGATGTCCGGGATGCTCAAGTGAGGCAGTGTGAAGGAAATATGAGGAGTAGGTGGAAAGTGAGTCTGCGCCCTCCTCACGGGCTCTTTTTAGTGGTGGGGCAGGTTCCCATTGTGAGATGCTGCTGCTGCCTGGGATTTGCGCTGTGGTTTGCATCATCCCAGCTCACCTTAGGTTTTCCATGGGAAATAAAATGGCATCTAGAAACGATAATGAAGCTGCAATGTGAGGCTGCACTGATTTCAGTAGTGACTTGCTTTCCCAGGCTGCACTGGGTGACACGATTTTCACCCTGGGCCTCCTGGTAGGGTCTCCATAACTCAGAAACGCTGCTTGGCACTGTTTCTCTGGGACTGTTTTCAAAAATTGCTTTGATATTTTACTCATACTCCTGTAAAACTTTCAAAAGCGACCTCTCATTTTCAGATTCTTTATTTATGCGTTGGTGATCCAAAATGACACACGCGTGTAGCGGTGCTGAGCGTACAGAGAAACTTTGGGAAATGGGAGCGATCAGCAGCTTCTGCTGCAAGTTGTCCCATGTTGAGGTTTAACTACATTTTTCCAAAATTTATATGGAAATGATTAAATTGTCCCAAATTTTTCTGCACGTCCACAGGCAGAGAGGGAGGGTGTCTTTGAAGATATTAACTGCAATGGGCAGATTATGGCTAGATGCTAATATTTGCACCTTTTCAAAGAGGCAAAAAGTCCTAGTTGATTTTTTTTGTGGACAGTACAAGTATTTGCATATATTTAGTGTATGTATTTAATATTGGAGTATTTGTATCTGTAATTTGTATTGATTATTTGTTAAGTATTTGTACAATATGAGTGAAGCTATTTTGTTTTTCTCTGTGAAAGAAACCAGTGTTATGTGCTTTGTGAGCCGCAATGCATGCCAGGAGTAACAAATGACATATATAAGAAAAGGAATTTCCAAACAACCAGTAGTCTAAATACCATTTACTACAGTTATCAAATACCTGTGTTTAGCAAACACAGTTTGTTACTGCAACCTGTGTGAATGGTTTTCCAACCTCTAAAAGGGTCACGTTAGTAATGGAGAGTATTGCATGCATTTCCGTTGAATACAATAGGAAGGAGTACTATTGCTTACATCAGGCATAATGTAGTGGATGTGTTGTCGGTATAAGGAGCTCAGGGGCTTTTTGCAGTATCTATCTGAGACACAAATATTTTGTCAGTCTTGTTACTCTAAAGCATGCCCTTAATGCAGATGGAGCAGAACATAAGGGAGAAATGGAGCCTATATCAATCGAAGAAACCTGATAAAAAGAGTTTTATGATGGTCTTTTGTATCTGCCGGGGGAACAAAAGGTTTTTATGGCAGAGTTGGAATATAATTGCTTTGATCTTTGAGTTAAAACAAGGACAACATTCTGCCGTTGGCTGTATCACATTGGATTGATGTGATTTTCTCATCTTCCTTGTGTATTTCTAGCCTCCTCGTCCAGAAGATCTATCCATCGTCTGTTTTACTAGTGGGACTACAGGTAAAAGAATGGGCGTTTTAATCATGAACTCTTAGACTCCATTATCAAATTAATTGTTAGCACCACCTCAGTATGCACAAATGGCCTCTCTTACACCGACACGGCAATGATATTTGTATGCATTTTTTAATTTTTAAGTGTGCATATATATGTACATACGTTTCTGCAGATATGCAAATTAAAAACAGTGATATTTTTATTTTTAGCTAGAATTCTCTGGCATACATTTTGGCAGTATGATTTTGCGGTTGTCTGGAAACCTGCCCGCGTTCCTCTGGACTTTCTCCTTCCCGTCTTGCAGTGTAGATATGCAACACTGGATTGATTGCTTTTTATCTTAAAAACCCCAAAAACCAGCACTGGTCGCAGCACTGTGTTCCCTATGTTGTGACTACCCCAAAGTCCCCTGCCGCCGCTGCTTGGGTGCTGCCAGCCCGGTCGGCTCCTTTCTCCTGGCATGGAAAATAAGCATCATTTTCCTGCCTCTTCTTCGGTGGGCGCAGCGCTTTCTCCCCTACCCAGATCTTGATTTTCCTGGAGCTTGCAGGAATTTCCTGCTCTCAAGAACCCGACCCCCCCCTAAAAGCTACCAAAAATTTTAAAAGCGATCAATGGGCGGGTGGCCAGCACAAAGGCACAAGACGGGACCGCTTCGGAGACTGCCTGCGTGCAGAGACGGGCCGTGCTGCCGGCCCTGCGGAGGGAGGATGCCCGTTCTGATCGGTGCGGCTGGCCAGAGGCGGAAGGTTGATCTTCATCTCCCACCTTCTGGAGAAGACCTGTACTGCACAACAGGTGAGCAGCTTCTCTGTCCGCTCCACGTACGAACCCTTGCTGCTCCGAATGCGGGCAGAGGCTTTGGTTGCTTCCCCCGCATGCGTCGTTTTTGCTTTACTTGGTGGGGTTTTGTGTTTCCGAGGGCGCCCGGCAGCATGCTGTGGCTGCTCAGGCCATCCTGGAAGAGTAGATGCTGGCGCGTGTCCGTCCTGGGCGGCAGCCCGGGAAGGTGGAGGGGGGCCCTGTTGTCTCCCGGTGCGTGAGATGAAAGGGCATCAGGTCTCAGCCGGAGCCTGGGACAACTCGAGGCTGCCCCCCCCGGCAGCAGCCGTGGCCCAGAAACTCTTGGCCAGGCAAAAACGGGAACTGTAGGAAACTCAAAGAGCCATGTTTAGAGATACGATGGGGGCAGGATTTGCTGTGTGGATTTTCATGTGCGGAGGCATTACTTTTTCAACTTATTTTTTCTTACTGGTATTTTAATTTCTAGATAAGACTTTATTCTGAATAGAGAAGAGCTTTTTGGTTCTCTTTTTTCCTCTTTGCAAATAAAGCCATGGGCCACGTTCAGGCTTTGTGCTTTTCTTAGGACCATGCCTGGTGTTACCCAAACAGGCCAGCCATGGAGCTCGTTTGCTTTTTCCCACCCAGACCAGAGATTTCAAATTCTGCAGCTCGTGTGCAAAGTGCACTCAGAGAGCAGCGCTTCGGGAGCTACCGTCCCTTCCTCTGCGCCTGGAGGGTGCTTTTTGCGTGTCTCTGTCACGCTGCCCTGGGGCTTGTGTCACACCTTGGTCCCCTTTCAACACTGTGCTTTGATGGAAAGGACCTGGCTTGTGCTTAGCCTGCGTTGGGATATTTTTAATGATCAGATTTGGAGTTTTATTCCAGTGGAGATGTTCTCAAGGGCTTTTTCAAATCTAAAGTGTTCCAAGTGGGTTTTTTGTATTCAGTCTAGAGTGAGTAACCTGAAATTGTAGACTTGGAAACAATTTTAGCTGTTTAGCAATAAACTCAGAAGTGCATTGTAATGTGTGTTTTTCTTTGTGGTTGGTAGGCTCCGACATCCAGATGCCTTCACCGAGCGAAGGGAGAGGTTGAGATTGCTGCACTCAAACCACACGCCCAACTCTCTTTTTCTGAGTATCAGCAGAACTCACAAATGAGCCAAAGGCATGCAGGTGCCCCCAAAACAGCAGACTACACTTGGGCATGCTGGCCACTCCAGGAAAACAGGCCTTCATTTCCTCAAGGACTCGCCTCGAGGATGAAAATTGCCTCCCTGCGGTACGGGCTGACGTTTCTCACCGTCTAGCCGCGCGTAACGCATAGAGGCCAGCCGGCTGGGAGACTGCATGTGGCCAGAAACGTCAGCGGATCACACCACCGAGTCACTACTGGCGTGAATATTTAAAACAAGTACTTAGTGACAAGGGAAAAATTCTTCTGTTGCTGATGAGAACTGTCAAACAAGCTTCGCACTGAGGTGATAAGGCAAAACTGGCACACCCGACTTCCTAACTGTTGGGATCGCTGTGCACCTGCTTCCGTAGCAGGACACATCTTAGGTGTGTCTTTATGAAGAAAACCTAGCTTAAGAATAGTGTCACCGTTCTGGCATTTTTTTTTTTTTTAAGAAAAAGCACTTTTGCTAACAGCCTTTTTCTCTAGAAGAGGTAAATTCTGGGAAGGGGCTGGTAGCGAGGGGATCCTATCCAGTTAGGTTGCCTCTCCAAAGAGTTCGAAGAGCTAAAGAAGGTCGAGACTTACTGGAGTTCCCCAGCCCAGCCCAGAAAGTTCCAGTTCCCCTTCCCAGCACGGTTTGTTCTGGATTTCCCCTGAATGAGGGTTATCCTGGCTCCGAGAGCGGGAGCTCTGCTTCGAGACTTTCAACCTCACAGATGGCCAGGGAGGCTGAACCTTGCTACAGACAAGAAACGGAGGGAGGAGGCGGCTGTGCCTGCAGGCAAGCGATGGTCATTTGAGCAGAGGTACTGGATCATCTGAATTTGCATTAAAAAAAAAGTCAGACGTGGAGTAAATAAATGAGTCAGAGGTCTCAACGAATCTGATTGATAAATCTTCTTCGTGCTTCCAGAAAGCCTGACGATTTCTGCGGAGGCGCAGGAAGCCAGCTCCGCCGTGACGTCGTTGGAGGGTGCGATTTGAGACACCTTAGCAGGTGTCTCAGGAAAGAAGCACAGGAAACAAGCGCACCGTCTCGCGGGGTTTCCCGGCAAGGATCGAGCATGTCTCCTCTGCTGGGACGAGACCGGGCCGGTGGGCTGGTGGCGAAGAGAAACTTGTGCAACTTGGGGAAGTCAGGCTACCTGCAGCATTGCAGAGGCTGAGCAAACACTTTTGGCAAGACACAACTGAAATACCAGGAGTAATTTCTGGGTCATAAGCGCGTATTTACAGCTGGCATTGGTTCGTGGGATTTTCTTGAAGTCTGGCTCTACATGTGCACCCAGCTGTGGAAATGAGCGCTGTAAAACAAACCGTGTCTCCCTGAGCGGGTCTCTGCAAGCCGGTGGGGTCGGCAAGTTAGGGCAGGAGCAGTGCAGCTGGGAAAGGCATCAGCGCTGGCTTTACTCACGAGTTTTGCAAGAGGACAAATTTAAGTTAGACCGAAATAGCTCTCCATGCAGTGTGTTCATTTTTAAGTCTTTGGGACTGAATTATTCAGCAGCACTTGCAATACCAAATGCGGCTTTTCAGTAACATTCATTCTGTGTTCAAAATGTCCTGTTTTAGTGCAATAAATGTGTGCAACAGTTAGTATTTTTGTTTGGGCCTTTATTTAATTGCTTGAGGGATTGGGCAGAGATGGAGTCTGTGAAACTGGAGGGGCCAGCGGGCGCGCAAGTCTCAGCACCTGCAGCCCCGGGGCTGGGACCCGGGACGTGCCTGCATCGAAGGGGGCAGCTGCCGAGAACCAGCCTGGCATGGATGAATTAAGCACGTTTTTGTGTGCCGAAGCTGATTCATTAAATGCCATTGCCCCTACCTGATTTGAGAAAGCCAGAACCATATTCTGGCTGATTTGCAGTTTTGCGGGGCTGTTGATACACCGTTAATGTTAACGATATTGCACAGCTCCTGGTAGGGGTCACCATGCCCATTGCGCAGTGCTGCTCCTCTACCTTCGAGTAACACTCGTCCGATCTGGTGCTGCACAGGCAGCTGCAGGGACTTCGTTACAGAGGTGTGATCTCATTAAAACAATCTGCTTTAACAGTAAGCTGGAGAGGGAGACTGCTTCTGCTTTATTCCAGCTGAGCTGCTCCTTCTTTTCTGAAATAAACCCTTGGAGGGTGATGGAAAGCAGCAGTGCCGTGATGGGAAGCGCTGTTTAAGAAACCCTGTTCTTTGGTGCACGGAGAGCTATGAAATTAATAAGATGTACCTGTGGCGTGAAGGAGGGTTCCTAACTCAGAAAAGGCAGTGAAAAGGCAAATGGTTGGGAACTAGCCGGTCCGGGTGGCGGATGAGACACGAGGAAGTTTGAGAGCTGGTGGGGACATGGTCCTTCGCCTTGGCGGCTCCCCACGGGGCCAGCGTGATCACAAGGATCCCCCTTTGCTCTGTTGCTGGTGATATCGATGACTTTTACGGTCCCAAAGGGCCCTCTTGTATTTATACTGCGTATTACCTGTTTTCTGCCTTCTTTGGGTTATCCAGCGCTCTGGCTAACCAAGAGCTAAAGCAGCCTTTAAAGTTAGGTTTGATGGTATTCAGGGTCGTTCTTAGTCAAAAGCTACGTGAAATAAGTCCTACCTAGTGCAGCTGGGAACACAGAGCCAGCCGTGATGACCGTACGCATCACGTGCTCTCAGAGATTTCAGTAGGCTACTGCTGGTGTCTTCAACAGAAGTCTTCAGGTTATGCTGCACTTACAGTATCATCTTATTGAATTTTGAGTATTGTAAGAAATGCTTTCACTACATGTTACTGCACAGAAATGATTGTGAAAATCACATAAGTTTTAACATTCAGAAAGAGAACTTGAAAATATTTTCAACAGTTCCAGTTTCTTTTAAGCTTTTGGAACTTAGCTGCCGGGTCATCTCTTGCAGTCATGGTCTCTGTTTCCCTGCAGGCAACCCCAAGGGCGCTATGCTGACTCACGGCAACGTGGTTGCGGATTTCTCAGGCTTTCTCAAAGTGACCGAGGTGAATACCCAGCTTGAGCGAGCGTTGGCCCGTGCAGCGCGCGGGCCCCCCGCGCCCGTGCGAGAGCTGGAGACGGGGCCTCAGCGGGTGGAAGCTCACTTGCTCCGAGGACCCCGTCCGTTGAAGCGGGAGCAGGTCTGAGCTTCCAGCGTTGAGTGGCCTTAGACCCCGTTCTGCTACACGTCTGTGCCGGTAAGGTGCTGTAAGGGCTTTTGAGGAGCACCGCTGGCTCCTGTGAATCAGGTAACGCGTCTCAAAGAGCTGAAAGAGCAAACGGGCCTCGCGCAGCTGCAGCCGGTGCTCTAAAAAGAGCGCGGTGCCCGCTTCTAGGGCTGCCCGTGTGATGCCTCCAGCATTTATTGGAGAGCTTTATGCATAAGAAGTATATATGTATGTGAGACCATACAGGTATTTACAAGAATGGTTAGTTTTGTTGATACTAAAGTATGTCACAGTTTGGGTTACACGCGCTTTACAAAACACAGCACTGGCCAAGTGCACGTCCAGCGTGTTTCACGCAGTGTGCAAGCTGCTGTTTGGAAACAGCACAGGAGGCAGCACTGCTGCAGCACCGCAAGTGAAGGGTTGTACTCAGCTGGCACCCAACATAAAGAATCTATTTTTACGTAGAAAACAGGCAATTATACGTCGTAGTAAAGTCCACATGGGATGCACAGTTAATCGCAGTACACCTGTTTTCCTTTTACGATGGGTGCTGAAAATATTGCCGTCTTACTACCTTAATCCTTGATTTCTCTGCGACTTCCAGGCCACCTTTTTAAACAAACGAAAAATCCCGCGGAGCTCACGTGTTTAGGCACGTGCAGGGCTGTGGCTCCGGCAGCCTGCAGCACGAAGCGGCCGTAGGGCCGATTCTCGGCATCTTTCAGGGCTGACGCCAAGAAATGGGTTTAGCGTTCGCCACGGGCAATGCAATTCTTCAGTTAGTCTCGGAGGTACCAGATTGAGCCTTAAGCCTGGTGTAAGTGGATGTGTACTGAGTGGCCTCAGCCGGCAGCGTGGTGCTGGTGACGGTGTATAATGTTCACAGCCAATCCACCCTCTTAAAGCAATGTCTAACCTCAGTCTAACTGAGCCAAGTGCAAAAGCCTTGGAAGTAGTATCAGTCAATGAAATAAAAGTACCCAGAGCAGAAAAATGCTGCAGATTAGCTGCCTGCGTTCTTTTGTGCCAGTTTTGCATAGTTCACTGGTTTTATAATTGGAACATTTTTTTTGAATGAACTTAGAGCTTTATTATAAGATTATTTTCAAATGCCAGGAAGCTGTTTTTATTTTTTTATATATTTAACAGGACAACTAGACCATATTTGCCAATACTGTGAAATGCTACTAGGTGCCATCATTCTGCATCAGTTAAAACCAGACTGTATTACTGTGAGGGCACTTGAAAGGGTGCAAAAAAGAAGCACAGCTGGTGGTGATAACGGTTTTACACTACTGGCCTTGCAGATAATGAGGCCAGTTTGCAGCAATGCGTAAATAAATCTGCAGGCCCTAATACCTTAATTCGGATTGTCACATAAAACAATACAAAGCAAGATGCTGAAAAGACCCAAGGGCCAGTGACGTTTGACTTCGTTAGGGTAACGATCAGGAGGGCGCACCCAAGTTCGACTTGCTCAGATTTAATGCCAGTAAAACACTGCATGAGGAAGGAGGTCCCGTGCCTCCATGCACTGCCGCGTCCCAGATCACGGGCCCCCGGCGGCGCCGGGGCAGCGGAGACGCGAAGCGGGTTTCGGTCGCTGCAGCCGGGAGCCAGCAGCTTTGCGCGCTGGCCTTGGTGCAGGCTAATGGGTACTCACCGTTTCTGGTCTTCTAGTCGTCCCGTGGCAGTGCCTTCCCCGGGAAACGCGCTGAAAGGCTGCTTTCCTCGGCGGCGCGGCCCTCTGTGTTCGTCCTCACGCTCTGCACTGCCGCTAACGCAGCTCCATCGACGCTGTGCCTTAACGCTTCCCTTCGCCGCTGCTCCCTCTCTCTCTTGGCACTCTCTACCCTTCCGCTCCTCTTGCTGCCGTTTTTCTTTTTATTGTTTTATGACTCTCTTGTTGTCTTCCTGTCAGTGTTTCTTTCCTTTCTGTCTCCCATGCCCTTCACCTGCAGAAAGTGATCTTTCCGAGACAGGACGATGTGCTCATCTCCTTCCTGCCTCTGGCTCACATGTTTGAGAGAGTGATACAGGTAAGGAACCTGTCCCAACTGACGAGGCCTCGCGGGGCTCCTTGTGCTTTCTTCCAGAGTCAGTGGTCTCCTACTTGTGCGGATGTACACATATCCTATTTGCCTTTAGCACACATGTTTGAGAGAATGGTGCAGGTAAGGTCCAAGGGTCAGTGGAAATTGTCTCTTTCCACCCCCCAGAATGAATGAAATGCTAAATAACCAGCAATATCTTGTAGAACTAAAAAAGCTTGTACTGCAGAAGTGCCACGTGCGTAACGCCGGGGCCGGACTCTCCTCTCAGCGGCACGGCTACAAATCCGGAGCGATCCCAGGGTGCTGAAGCATCTCGAGCTCTCGGGCTTGCACCGGTGGCGCTGAGATTGGAAAACGGCCCGCCGGGAGCGAGCAGCAATTGCTACCTGCGTGATCTGGGGGGGCAGCTTTTCAGTACTGTAGGGTCAGTGGTCATAGGAGTAAAAACCAATTTTGCGCCATTTTTTGGTAGCAGCTAAAATCCTTTTATTGCGTAAATAACCAGATCTGCAAAAACTTGCAGAAGCTGAGAAATAGGAAGCTAAAATAACGGTGCGGCACACGGGGGATAATTTGTGCGGGAAGGGTGTGCTATACAAGTCAGATTAGATGCTCGCGTCAGTTCTCCCGGCCTGAAAAGCTGTGAACTGAAAACTGATGCAATATGTGAAGGTTGGATCTGGACTCAGTCGCAGCTCTACGCTTTCTCAGGCGGGACAGCTTTGGGCTGAACGCGTGCTTTTTGAGTCAGACAAGCCTCAGTGTAAGCCTGCCGCTTCTTGGTAACGCCTGCGCCAGGAGGAATTCATTGCGCCGGGCTGAACGCTTGCAAATGGGACGTGGAAGTCGGTGACAGATTTGGAGAACTGCAGCCTCACAGATTTTCGCTTGTAAGTCTAACTGTAGCAGGCAGGTTGGTCAGGACCCCACCGCTGGTCAGGCAAACCGCTCTGCCAGCAGGCAACAATGTAGTTGTTAAAAATGCATCTGATGGGAAAAAAGCTGTAGGAACGTTTGGAATAACCTCGTTTCACGGGGTGTTGCCGAATCGGAAGGGACAGGCCTCCCGAGCCCTCAGTAATGAAGGAAATTCAGGCTTGTCCTCTCTGCTGAAAATAACATACAGATTTTTCGAAAGGGCTAAAAAGTCATTTTCAAAATTACTTTGACCAGCAATCACGGAGTCAGCGTCCCTCGCTTTAGCCAACGCTGCTGGTTCCTGGAGCTGGCAGATAAAGTTGTGCGGGTGCAGTCCTTAACACTAAACATTTCTAGTGGCTGTTTCTAATCCCCAATGACCGTAAAGTGATTATATTTTCCATTTTTCATTCATGTGCACGTGCAGTGTAGGACACAGGTTTGGCAGGGTGAGGTTGCTTAAACCCACAGCACGTGTAGGACTCCCAGGGTTTCAGGCCATGGGGAACGTTCTCCAGGTGGTGACAGAAGAGCAGGAGCATTCAGGTTGCCGTTACGGATTGTTAGGGGTAGCGCAAAAAGAGCCAGGGGGTTCTCAAGGTGTTTTGAGTTGTCCTAGCTATTTGGGGAGAGAGCTCTGCCAAAAGGAGTGGATGCTCTCCGTTTGCGACGCTCGGAAACGCGAGAGCTGTGGTCTAGCAAAGCGGGGTCGCAACGGTACGTTGGTACAGTTCCCATCTGAACAAGTTAGTCGCCGGTCCTCTGCGGTGTTACTTGCTACCAGAGCTGCAACTTGGGCTGCCGGTTGGGTCATCGCAGTCGGCGCAGTCTGCGCAATCTCGTGCGTCCGCGTCTAGTTTGATCTGGGTAAAAAGTGGCCTTTTTTTTTCTTTCCAAAAATGCAACTCCCAGATCTAGAAGCGGGCTCCTATTTCTGGGGTGCAGCATCAGGCACTGCATTGCTAACGTAGTCTATATTGTTATGTTTAAACAAGACTAAAGTATTAACATCTAAAAACTGGCTGCTGCTCAGTATGTTTTACAATGTTTTTTAATATGCATTTCTTTATCAACAGTAGGTCCTCACGCTGTGAGCTGCTCTGGTAGGTCTGGGCTTCAGAGGTGAAGTTCAGCTCCAGAATCTGACCTTGGCCAAGAGTCCCCCGTCCCCGTCTGCAGGGATGCAAGGAAAATCTGCTCCCCGATACTTTCAATTCCTTGTTCTTCCAGGAACAGGGGCAAATTTGGTGGATGCTAAATTACCAATTCTGCTCAGTCCCCACAACTAGGCCTTTGTTTCTACTCAGTGCAAAATTCGCTGTTACCTTTATATCGATGTTGAAAGCCCCATTTCTGCCATAGCAGGGAGCAGGGCAGGCATTTCTGCGGGGGGGTGCTCTGCCAGGGGAATTAAAAGCGCGGCTGTTACAGGCGTTGCATTCTTCTCCCATCCCAGTCCGTAGTGTACTGCCACGGGGGGCGAATCGGGTTCTTTCAAGGAGACATTCGTCTGCTGTCGGACGACATGAAGGCGCTGCGCCCGACCATCTTCCCCGTCGTGCCGAGGCTGTTAAACAGGATGTACGATAAGGTGAGTTTCACTTCATGCTTTTTTGTGATAATGAAGTTTATCGCTCGCTAGCACTCCTGTGACGGCGTTCCCGTGGCCGGGGTGCTTTCCGCAGCAGCTCCTCTCCTTCGGCCTTGCTGCAAACACGTTCTTCTCCTGCGAAGCGGCAGAGCTGCTCCAGGCTGCACCTCTACGCTGTAGTGATTAAGCTGGCCAGCAACGTGGCTGTTGCCCGTTCATGTGCGATCCCTCTCTAAGGGACTCTTGTCCTCTTCCCACTGAGGTTCCTGGTGACCCTGCCAGAGGAGAGGGGTTTTCATCTCAGAGCAGCATCAGTCAAGCCTGGATGTGCTGAGACCTTTTTGTGCTCCTCAGCCAGTTTTGGGACTTGGATCTCTCTTTGTGGTGGCAGCGACAGGTCAAACCTAGGAACTGTTAAAAAAGAGTATGAGGACTTAGGCAGTGTAAACGCGGGGCTGGCTTTTGGATCTGGGAGTCTTCAAAACCAGGAGTTGATCTTGAAAGGTGTTTAAGAAAGTCACACGCCTGGTCACTGTGTCGAGTCCGTTTGACCCGCTGGGAATATTTATTCCTCAGCAGATTTAGCCTTTAAAGATGGGCCCAGGCAAAAGATGGGCCCAGGATTTCAGTTTTCCCCAAGGTCCGGCCTGTTTGGATCAGGGCTTCTGGTGGCCGCGTAGAGGTGGGCACCGGGGGCTTCTCGGTTGCGGAGCTCCAGTTCGGGCTGGCGGCCGAGGAAACCTCGGCGCCTGCAGCCCGTAGCGCGGCGAGCGCTAGCCGCGAGTGCCGGCGGTGCCAGTCGCTCGTTCCTAGCTGCCCAGCTTTCCTGGTTCCCCCAAATCACGCGTAGCGTGGGAAGGACAGAGAAACACCCGTCCGGTAAATCCGGTCAGAGCCTCGGTTCTCTCATCCTCTCTCTCCTTTTTCTCCCCCCGCAAAAGGAACAGCAAGCGTAATAGCGAATGCAGTGAAACAAGCCAGAATTTGTACTAATAAAGCCATAGGGTCGTCGTATTTAACTATATCGCGACTAAAGCTGTGCCGTAACTGGCACTGCTAGAAGCGTAGCGCTGTAGCGGTGAGAACGGTTGTTGGTATCCGCTTTGTTTCCGGCGGCGCCTAGATCTTCAGCCAGGCGGACACTTCCCTGAAACGCTGGGCTCTGGAGTTTGCTGCGAGGCGCAAAAAGGCCGAAGTGCGGAACGGGATCATCAGGAACGACAGCGTGTGGGATAAGCTCTTCTTTAATAAAATACAGGTGAGGGATTTAACACCGGGGATGCTAAAGTCGCGTTGCGCCTCCCTCCTGCCGCGGCGCCGCCAATCGCCCCTTGCCGGCAGCCAGAACCGCCGCCGCCGCCTGGCCGG